AGGCCTGGCCCCCGGCGAGCGGCTGTGGCCGCTGCCGGAGGGCGGCTGCTCTCCAGGCAGCGGCGGCGGCGGCGGAGGATGGCGGCGCGGTGAGCTGGGCGCGACTGTGGTGAGGTCGGTGCGGTTGTAGTCCATGCAAAGCGTGTCGGGGTTGCCCTGCTCTGGCAGCCGGTCGCAGCGCATGCGGTCAGGCCAGGCGAAGCCGTACTGGCGCATGAGGGGGGCGCAGCCGGCTTTGGCGCGCTCGCATACGGAGCGGCAGGGCGGCAGCGGCTTCTTGTAGTCTTCCAGGCAGATGGGAGTGTACATGCTGCACAGGAAGAACTTGAGGTCAGGGGAGCACTGAATCTCCACCAGTGGCCAGAACTGGTGCACCTCCAGGCCAGCCTCGTCCTGCGTGTCGTGGTTGAACTGGTTGGGCATGTAGGTGTAGTTGTAGCCGATGCCCTTGCACAGGGGCACCGTGATCTCCTGGCACGCCAACTCCTTGGCGGAGGCGGCCGCCGCGCCGCTGGAGCGCTGCAGCAGCGCGAAGGCGGCCAGCAGCGAGGTCACTTCCAACAGGTAACTCCACTCCATGCTGGGCGCCTCAGCCCGCGCGCCGCCGCCGCGTCCTCGCCACTCCACGCGGCGCGCGTCCCGGGTCCCCGGCCTAGAGGCGCGGGGAGGGACGCTGGGAAACCAGAAGAGAGAGAAGGCGAGGAAGAAACTCGGGGCCTCTCTGTCCTGTCGGCCTGCCTCTCCTGGGGAGGGAAGTCGGCCGAAAGCCAAGCCCCTTCTCAGGGTCAGAGTCCCAGCGGCGCGGTCCGGAAGGCTGGGCAGTAATCTGTCCAAACCTCCCTTCCGCCGCCTGGCCGGCCTCTCCGGGGAGCCGGGGAGAAAGCGCAGCTGCACTCCCCCCTCCTCGAGTCTCACAGCAGTTCCGAGAAAATTGGGGGGTAGGCTGCAGGCGAGCAAGACAGTCCCCTTTGGGTCTTTCCCCTGCTTTATTTCGGTCGGATTTCAGCTAGCGCGGAGAACTGATGGACTCTGGCTCATCTTCCTGCACTTGCTTTTTCCCTCTCCCTCCGCGCCGTGGCCACTCTTCTGCCGCGACTCCCGGGCTGGCGGCGACTTTGCTGAGCACAGAAGGTGGCGGAGCAGCAAGTTTCCTCTCCAGCCCCCGTGATGCAGAGTCAAGATGGCTGAGCCAGGCTCACTCTCCGAGTCCGGGGTCAACGTCTCCAGCTCGCTCTCTCCCCCAGGGGGCACATTCCTGCTCCCACAGCCGCAGCCGGTTCCCTGAGTTCGGCCAGGGACCTCGTCTCCGCCGAGGTCGCTGCCTCTACTCCCCGGAGCCCGTCAGTCCGTACGCCTACCCGGACAGGACAAATCCCCGCCTCTGGGTTAAAGTCTGCGCTGTGCTACGGCCAGTAATGAAGCGAGTTGCAGGCAGTTGTTTACTTGATCAAAAAAAAACCAAGAAAACCAAAATTTAGAGCAAAAGGACAACACCTGAACTGAGCGGTCCTGGCTGAAGCTACCGGCGCCGCCACCTCCTCAGCGGGAGCAGCGCCCTTTGCCCAACTTCCCAATCTCCAGCCCCAGCTCGAGCAGAACCGCCCGCCTCATGAATATTTATACAGAGCAGACTCGGTCTCCGCCCTCAGACGGGCCAGCCAATCATCGGGAGATGGGGGCGGAGTCTACGCACTCCCAAAGCTCAACCTTCCTTAAGGCCGTCTGCAGGGTCTGGACATAAATTTGCGCTTTTTGGTGATGGAAATTCGGTTTTGATTACCTTGGGATTGACCGGAGAATCGGACTTTCAAAGAGGCTTCCCTGAAAATCCAGGGATCCCCAGGGAGCCCACAATATCCCCGACTCCACGTTTATCGTGTTTGCACCGGCACTCAACGCGTCTGAGATCTTGGTCCCATTTCCCTGAGTCTGAACTTTGGGGACTGAGACATGATTTTATGCTGCGCGAGCCTCTCCAAATCGATTTCAAATCAGTAAAGCTCCCCTCTTCATTATCTTTCCCCGAATGTGAGGTGACCTGCCGGCGGCAGGGGTTCTGCGCCCCCTCTCTAGGCGGGGGAGGCGAGGAGACCGCTGCAGGTGGGTGCGCAAAGGATTCTCGGGGGTGGCGACTGCAGGGCTGTGGCTAACTCCCTTAGTAGTGCGCTGTGATCTGGAAATAGGTGTCTTCCTTGGGATTCTCAGAAGTTGTTTTTTGACGCTTGTAAATGTAGGGGAATGAGCAACTTAGTTCATTCCGGATGGTGGTGCTGGATGGGTGAGGGCCTTGGCGAGAGGCGGCCACAATGCAGGGGCGCAAGGTCTGGCGGGGTTTGCCTCCCTCCTCCATGGAGTGATCTTGGGGAAGGTATTTATCATCTCTGACCTGTTTCTTTATCCGCAAAATGAGGTGATCATAGTCCAGATCTCAAAGGGAGTTCAGATAAGTAGGTGAGATAATAAAGCATCCAGGACACAGTTCTTCCTTATGAGAAATAATTCTTTCTTAAAAAAGAAAAAACTTATAAATGGGACGGACTGAAAACTCTGCCGTTGGATTCTCCCTCTCCTCCTCTAGTACTTTTGGAACATAAGAATACATCTTTCCGAAGTTCATGTTTTTGCCAAAGCCTCCTTTTCCACGTCTGATAGAACCCTGGGCGCCTAGGAGGCGGGGCTGCGCCCCTGGCGCAGACAAGCGGACACGTTTCGGTGATCTTCCCGAGCCCGAGGCTGGGCCAGACCTTCTTTTAGCCGCCACTTGTGACGCGGCCAATTAGCGCTGCCCCCGCCAACTCCGCCAACCACCTTAAGACGGGGGCGGGGGGGGGGCGGAGGGGCAGGCGGCCTGGCAGGTTTATTTACGCCTGTTAGGACGTCCCAGGGGGTTGTCTTTCTCCTAGAATGGAGTGTTTATTTTTTAATTGATGTGCTGTTTCATTTAGCGCTTGTATGGAACTCACGCTGGGGCTGTAATTACTGTAATCTCGGGAACAAGCATTTCGGTTCTGCAAGAGGGTGGCAAAATACAGTCTCTCGCTCCTCTCTCTCTCTCCCTCCTTTTTGTTTCTAAATTTTTGCTACTTGTCAGTTTTCATATCAGGAACAAGTAGGGCAAGAGGACAAAAGTTGTTGAGGGTGGGAGGAAAAGGAAGAATTGAAGGTGCGTTTGAGGCCATTCAAATTTTGGGGTGGATGGGTGATGGTTATCTGTTTAAAGACAACTTTTGTCACAAAACAAAAATAATGTTTGTCACAAAGCAAACAAAAATAATGTTTGTCACAAAGCAAACAAAAATAAGTAGCAGCACTTGTATATTTCTTGAGCTAATGGTCTTCCTCCTGTTTTCTGTGGCTTAGTTTTAGCAATCTCATTGCACCACATTCTAAAGAGATAAGCAGAGATACTTCCTACCCTGCCCCCTCCCTCACCTGGCGTTTTGGTTAAGTTCTGCGTTATCACCAAGAATGCTATGTACATAAATCCACCAGGATACAGATGTATTCCACCATCTTTTAAAAATTGAAGCCTAGTTAGAAACTCTTTATACTTCCTTCCCACCTTTGGGAAAAATTAAACACCTTAGAAATCAGAAATTCAAAGGCTTCAGATCTTCAAAAGTGCAAAGACGCGCGATGGTCTTTCCTTAACATTTCTTCCCCCTTGCCCGCCTTTCACGCCCCGAGTCTGTATTCCCATTTGTGGTATGTTGAATTTAAAAAGCCATCTGACCCTTGTGTTGTTTCCTTGTTTAAAACAGTCCTTCACCAGAACATTGAGCTGTTGGGGAACAGGTAACTCCCGGAGTCAAAATTCTACTCTGAGCTGCAGTGGTGAATATTCCTTTTATGAGCAACCTGGACGCTGCGTCGCCAGGACCACAGATGGGAGGTGCTAGTTTCCAAAAGCAACACAGATGTTGAAAAGTTTCTACTGCTTTTCTTCAGCTTGGAAAAGTCAAATAGTGAGGTCTAGAATTACACTATATAAATTCACTAGAATTAGGTAAAAACAAACTTTGACATTTGAAAATGGAGGCTGACAATAGTTGATTTTGGCTTTTAATTGGCATTTAATTTTTTTTTGTGTTTTGATTTTGAGACAAGAAGAAGGCTTTGATGATGTGGAATGTGGATATTTTGGGGAAATAATATAAAATCAAGCTTAATTTACTTAAGCTTGCAAGAAAAAAAATAAGTAGATAAAAGTTCAGAGTTTTAAAAATTCGTGTTATAAGCTATAGGAAAATATTGTTTTGTGAGATTGAACTCATTCATATAAAATCATAAAAAGTTTACTTTTAATTCAGAGAACATAAAAATAGCATTTAAAATTACTGCTGTATTAACTTAAATTACTACTTGATCATTTTCCAGAGACTTAATAAGCTAATTGGTGTATAAAATCAGTGAATATTTATTGACATGGTGGGTTAATGCTTTTTTTTTTTTTTTGTATGTAAAGCAGCTGTTTTTTTTAAGCAGAGTTACATAAATAATGTAGGGAAGTTTCTAGAAGGATTTCTGAACAGATGTCTTGTTACTAAATTGTCTATAAGGATAGTAATATAAGCAACTGAAGGCAAGAACCTACCTCAGAGGAAGGTAATGTTTTACAAAATATTGGATACCAAGTTAGATAGGAGATTATCAATATACTGTATTTCTCAAATTTAAGATACTTTGGGGGAATTATTTTTTAGTGGGTTATAGTTTAAAAACCCAACATAAGAATCTCTATGCAAGTGAAGGCTAACCTATTACCAATAAAATTACATGTTACAAAGAATATTAAGTGGAAAACTCCTTAATAACTAATGAAATTTCTCAGGTGTTACATAAAATACCAGCATTTCTCCTTTCAGGGAAACAATCAAACACTGTATTACTAGGGAATATAAAACTCCATCAGGTCATATTGGGGTCTTTTGGCATTTTAACATTTGGCTTTCTAAGAATTGAGTCTTAAGTCCCACTCCATAGATGGAAGGAAGTTAGGGATCAACTGGTCTTGCTCCAATCTCTGCTGAATTAAAATGGGTGAAAAGATTTATATATCCTTCTATATGAACAATACAGTCTATTAAAGGTCTTCCTCTTTCAACTCTTTTCTCCACCACCAGGAAAAAGATCCAATTGGAAAGAAATACTCTGTCATTGTGTCTGCTGATACAAGGTCAAGTTGCCAATGCAAGAAGACAACTGAGGAAAATACGTGCCATTGGCCAAGAATCAGAATTGTCACTTTACTTGCAGATGTCATTTTAGGAAATGGCAACTGTGCTGGCTGTCAATATGTCACTATGTAACTTTAGAATGATTGTGTGTTAGACTGGGTTCTCTAGAGAAACAAAACCAGTAAAGCTTATATATATATATGTATATATAGAGAAATTTATCTTAGGAAAATGGCTCACACACTTATAGAAGCTGGCAAGTCCAAAGTTCCTGGATCAAACGTCAAGCTGGAGGCTTTTCCCGACTCTTGCAGCCACAGGGGCTGAGGAGCTCAAGGTTGGCAGGCAGTATACTCGCTGTTGACGCCAACGAATGAGGAATCCAAGATCTCCAGGCCGAAT